TATATATATCTATCTATATATAAAATACACTTTACATAGCAATGTTTTCTTTACAAAAGTATTTCACTGATTTTATGGGAGAAGTTGCAAGTAGGATGTGTTACTATTATTATCTAAAGCTTAGCTTCTTGAAAGGCCATTGTACTTTACTTTCAGTATGAACATGTATTTAATTTCCACAGGGTAATTATGAGTAATACTGTACTTAAGAATTGCTTTGATGCATTCTACAGAGTGGTCAACTATGTCGTCATTTGACTATGAATCACACTCTTCATTTATATGATTTAATATGCAATGGCTCACACCTGCTTTATATACTCCAGAGATCTATTTTAGAAATACTTCCAACAGGAACAGAAAAATAGCTTTTATCCCAGCTATATATATATGAAAATAATAAGGCATCCTGTGGTTCTTATTTGCATGCAATAAAGATAGAAAAAAGAACATTGGTTTGTCCAAGATGATTCCAAACTTTATCATTCTTGTGTATTTCTGCAACAAAATTGACTCAGTTTCTACCACAGTATAATGAGAAATCTGAGGGAATGTTTATTAAACCAATATGGCACAACATTTAAATATCTAAAAAGGTTTGTAATTTTCCTGAAAATAACATCAGTTTATCATGTTCAATTCACTCTGCAGCATGTTAGACAAGATCTACAGTAGCCAAAATTTTAGGTTTCTTGAGAAAGATAATAGAGTATGCTGTGTGATTGAATGACAGAATGTTTTGGCTAACATCCAATCAGATATGTAGTTTGAGCAACCTGAGAGTTAAGAATGAGATCAAAATAAGATTAATTATAAGCATTAGTTGTGCTTAAGCCTATTGAATCAATGTGACAACATTAAATTGCCATTGATTTCAGTACAAATGGTGACTTCATGTGGATTCAAATATATACATATCTGGGTGTAGGCATGTACAAAAACAGACTGGGTTCACATATCACAGTATACCATAATGTGATTTGTTGCATTTTGGATTAGCATGCTGTCCATACCTTGTCCCTATGATTTCGTACAGTGTTGGGCAAACCAAATAAATTGTTGTTTATTCATTAAACCCAGTTACATATTTCTTCAGTTTACACCTAATTATACAACTGTTAGTATCTTTTCTCCCAGTTTTGTACATGTATATAATTTTGCAGAATAGTCCTTAAGCAATCAAATGAATTTGTTCTAAGTAAGCCAAATGTGGTTTAGCATCTTACGTGGCTTCCTATGATGGAGAAAAATGCTTGAGTTCACATAGCTCCTTTACCAAATAAAACATCTTTTCTTAACTGGGATCACCATGTGCAAAACATGTCTATAGGAACAGATTCATAGTATAGCCTGAATAGAACTAAAATAGAAGAGGAGATAAAACTATAAGCTATATGTTGATATTATAATGAAGAACATCACTGAAATATTTTACAATATATCTACAGTATGCAATTTCTATCCTTTTACAGCAATTCCAAATAGAGTCTGTGAATGTCACAGAATTCCTGAGCCTTGCAAATTTAGAACCTTTCCGATCAAAGAGGTACAGGATGTTGAGTAATTTTGTCTTATCTGAAGCTACCTTGCCATCACTATTGTCTTTGTTGTTGTTGTTTAGTCGTTAAGTCGTGTCCGACTCTTCGTGACCCCATGAACCATATTGCGCCAGGCCTTCCTGTCCTTCACTGCCTCCCTGAGTTTGCTCAGTTTCATGCTCATTGCTT